AGACCTCTATATCGGTATTATCCTTCACGAGTCCATTATTCTAGAGACTGATTGTGTTTTTGTTCTTTTTTCTTACAAATGAGAAGCTCGATAGGTCGCCTCTCGTTGATCTGAAGAAAGAATCCTTGAGTATGTCCAGGATGATCAAGAATTTTAAAATTGCGAAAATTAATCGGCTAGCCAATGAGGTGGCTCGCAAAATTGTGAAGTTTAGCTTTATTAGTAGATCTGATGGGATTCTTCTTAGACTAGCCACAATGGGTAGTAACATAGAGTAGTAACATGCCCATGGGACGGGCATACCTCTATAGTGGGGAGTATACCTGGCCATGGGCCGGGCCGGGCTAGGTCTAAAAAAGCCCACGACAGAAAACTGAGGCTCAGGACCTCCCAGGCCCTATCATCGGGCCTACTTTTCAAGCCCAAGCCCGACCCATCTTGTAAAAAGCCCTGAAAAGCCCTTAGGGCATAGGGCCGTGGGTCGGGCCTCTTCCTTAAAATGCCAATATGCCAAGCTCAAGCCCGTCCAAGCCCTGTTGGTGGGCTCAAAACTCAGGCCCAAGCCCGGCCCACGGGCAAGCCCATCGGGCCTAGGCCCTGGATTTTAGGGTCGGGCCGGAGATGGCCAGGACTAGCGGGGAGTAACATATGTGTGGTAACATGCAACACTTCATTTATTAGGCTATAGACTCATCTTACTTTGATATGTATGATGTTACTCATACTAGTAGTAACTAGCTATGTTACCACATGCCTCTCTTTCTTCATTTATTGCTTGCCACATCATCTATTTTATCTATATATGTGTGATGTTACTACTTACATTACTCCCACTGTGGGTAATCTTAGTAGTGTTCCGTCCTGCATGGTGTGTTTTGTAATGAAAGATAATAACCTTTTTTATTAATTAATATAGGGGTTTAGAAAAAAGAACTGGGAGATAGATTTTGAGTTTTAGATAAAATATCTAAAAAGTATTGTCCTCAACTAGTTTCCGACCGGGAATGTTTACCATTTAAAAATCACATGAATACATCGCGAATAAAATAAGGGCGCGTCTAGCTGGCGGTCGGGGGCTCGCTAGCTCTCGCGAGCGGCCGGCCCCTGGTCCCAGAAAAGGCAGCACGTTAGAAGGCAAAATTACTGTAATCCAAAAGTGCCACTAAAAAGGACACGACTAATTAATTACTCTATGTGGTCTCTTCTCACATGATGGATGCCTGCATGCCGCTGCATTAATGTTCTTCATGTTCATCTCTTATGCATTAATTTTTGGTTTTCAAAATTATAGAAGACATATCTTTTAAACCACGTGTCAAAATTCAGATCCGTTTTCACCCTTGAAACCCTCGCGGCGTGCTCTTCAAAAGTAGACCCCCTATGTGGATGTTTTGACGAATTAGTCTTCCTGTCAACTAAAATCAATGTATATGCAACTAGACTACATTGTCGCGCCAACTGAGCATATGTGTGTGCCAGTAGTCCTGCCAACTAAACATTAATGTATGTGCAACTAGACTACAGTGACGCGCCAACTGAGTATATGTGTGTGTAACTAGTCCTGCCAATTAAATATCAATGTGTGTGCAACTAGACTACATAGCCATGTCAATTGCGCATATATATGTGTGTGCAACTAGTGTCCTGCCAACTAAACATCAATGTGTGTGCAACTAGACTAAATTACAAGCCAACTGAGCATATGTATGTGCAACTAGTCTTCCTGTCAACTAAACATTCATGTGTGTGCAACTAGACTAAATTACAAGCCAACTAAACATCAATATGTGTGACTAGTCTTCCTGCCAACTAAATATCAATGTGTGTGCAACTAGTCTTTCTGTCAACTAAACATCAATATATGTGCAACTAGACTATATTACAAGCCAACTAGACATCAATATGTGTGCAACTGGACTACATTACCGTAAACTGTTTTTCGGTGTACACGAAAATGATTTTGCGGTACGGTATTTTACAAGATCTGCTAAAGACTACTCTTAGTATCATCGCGTGTGTGCAACTTCCCATAGGTTGTATAAAAACGACTATATTTGCAACTACAACTACTATAAATGCCAACAAAAAATTGACTACCAAAAGGGGATGTTTCCATCATACATATTTCCTATTCATGATTAAAAAAATATGGTCGGGATAGTTTGACCAACTGTCTAACGAATAATGTGCAACTTCGTCTGTTATCTTGACCAACTGTCTAGTAGTCGATATTCAGCATGGATGTGTGGTTTTCACCATCTCAACTTCGTCTACTTCCCCAGCCAACTGCATAATCGTGAGTGTGCAACATAGCCTGCTTGCTCTAAAACTACAGATCGTGCAAAACATCGCCGTAAGCATGTCAATTTTAGCATTGCATATATCATTTAAAAGGAAAAAAGATGTACCAAACAGAATGGAGCACCATAGAGGGTAGCAAATTTCAACTAGAATTAATTTGTAGAGATCGATTTGATCTCCATACACACACACGGGAAGGGACATGAATTCAACACTATGTGACTAGCATTCAGATCCATATGCACACGACACACACTAAGCTAGCACTCAGATCCATCCACCTGACATGAGGCAACTAGTAAACGTAACAATCCACACACACCGTGAGAGAAAGAAACACACACACGCGAGAGGAAAAAGAGTCTGCCGTGAACGGGATGACAGGGACGGCCACGACTCAAGGTCGATGCATCCATGCGCTGGGAAGTTGCCACAGCTTGCAGGCTTCGATGCCTAGCTAACGAGTAGGAGGTCGATGGCGACCAGGACGCCGTCACGCATGTCAGATCGAAGATGGCTGCCTTGCGTAGATGTAGATTGATGCAGACACGGTGAGCCACGCGAGGGAGGTAGACGCCGGCCCCCAAGACGCCATGCGCAGAAGGAAGATGCCGGCATGGACGATGACACACACGCAGGGAAATGACGGCCTAAGCGCACCGGTGACCGTGGGGTGCTCGCGAACGGTGAGTCGGGGAGGCAGCAGGGAATACGACGGCCCCTGCGAGATGATGGAGCAGTGCGTCAACGCCGTTGCTCCTCTTCTCCTCCATGCTTCGTCGCGAGCTCCAGCATCGAACGTTGACCAAGCAAAGGGGATCGAGCTGGGAAACAAGAAAGATAGACACAACAAATGTGATGGATGTGGATTTTTTTTCCTGGAGAGAGAGAGGGGCAGCGATAGGGTGCCAGAGGTGGGTTACTGCGGCCAGTGCAAGTTGGGGCGAAGGCGGAGGTGTCCGGTGAGGCGTGGTGGCGGCAGCCGACGCGAGGGGATGAGGATGAAGGGCGTAGACGCGAGCGGATAGCGACAAACGTCAGCCGTTGAGAGCCTCGTAGCACCTGCCCCACGCGCGCGATGAATCGGACAGGATCGAGCGGTCATGAGCCGGCCGTTCATTATTTCCAAATAGTGCGTATGCACTTTTTAGATTTTAGGATAAAATAAAAATGTTGTTTGGATTGTGATTATCTTTGCCTTATATTTGCCACATTACTTTTTGCCATACTTGCCAGTAATGATGCATCTACTTCTACTTCCCCTAACCCTAATGATGGTTCTAGTTCCACTAATGATAGAACAAATCCAAATGTGAAAACTAGTGCACCTAAGCACGACGATCATGGTATAATCCACTATTTTATATGGGCTTGAGTTGTTTAAATTGTTAGCCATGCTTTGGCTTGTCTAAGGAAATCTTGCCACACCTTTTGTGTCTATGACATGTGGGGTTCACTGCTCATAATAAAATTCTTAAATTAGATATGGGTAGAACCAAACAATCATCTAACTTGATCAAATCTGCCTAAGATAAGATATGGCAAAGTGTGGCAATATGTGGCTAAGAACTAAACAACCCTAAAATCACAGAGCTGAATTGACCCATAAATAAACAAGCAAAACGCGCAGCCAGCCGCAGGATCTTGGCCCTCTAATCCTCCGCAGCTCCGAGCCGTCGAGGCGGTCGGCCTCGAGATCGGCTCCCCGCCGTACATCCGCTAGAACGTTCCAGCACGCACTCTCAGCTCTCATACCTCCTGAACGGCTCAGATCTTCCGTCCACACTCGCAGCACATTTTTCTGCGTCCACGTGTAACTGCCACAGAACGGGGCCTCCGAGGCACGGACTGCCAGGCTCCTCCAGCCTGGCACGCATCACGAGGGCGTCGCCCACGAAGCAAAACTCCCACATCACCACATCGCCTCCATTTTTATTACCAGCAAATCCCCCATTTATATTAATATAAAACGAGCATTATTTTATTTTTCTACTGTATTTTACTCCTGATGTAGTGCTGCCAGTAACCGCTGCAGGTGGTAAGAGTAAAAGATCCAGCAAATATCCATCCGATGGTTTCAGAGCGCCAGTGCGGCGGCGCCCTGTCAAGCGCGAGATAAAATCCGCCCTCCGCGATTTCCCCCACTTCGCGTTTCCTCTCTCGATTTGTCCAAATCTTTTGTTCTCCTTCTCCACCGGCGATTAGCTTGTTGTTTCCGGCATCACTCCGCACTAGGCCGCCCCCCGCCCCGCCCCTCGCCCGCGCTGGCCTCGTCGTTTCCTTCCCCAATTCCGCCGCCCCACCCCGCCGATATTTATTTCCTGCATCGGTATCCATTGCCGTTGATAGATTTTCCCAGCTTTTGCTGCCTCGCCGTTGCTACTAATATCCGCGCTGGGATATTTCTTCTTTTGCTTTCTTGGGCGCTCGTCCAGCCCCCCGGAGGCCTCCGGATCTTTCGATCGCGGCGAGCAGGCGGCTCAAGGTACTTTCTTGTTTTTCCGATTCTGGCGGCGGCAGAAGAAGTTCTGCTGGGCGATGGAATGATTGCCTGGTTGGGATCTAACCGTTTGATTCTTTTTTCTTGTTTGGGATGCTCTGTGTCTTTTTCCCGTCTTTCAGATAGTTCGTGAATAGGAAGGCTGATTGGTAGGTTATTAGGGTTTTGGGAGTTGTTTTGTCTCTGCTCCAGTACATAGATGATGAAATCCGGGGAGGAAGTTAGTCAGGGTCAGCAAATGAACGGTTTTGTGGAGGAGAAAGCTGCTGGGGAATCTGGGTATGGTCGGAAGATCGAGAGGAGCCCTTCTATCAATCTGAATTCCTTGCCTGCAATAGCCCCTGCCACGGCGGAGATTGGTGTCTTGCACGGCGCAGTGGAGTCAGAGGCCAACGATGCAAGCACTCACAAGGGAGACGAGTCCAGTGGCACTGATCAGAAGAAGGTCCCGAAGAATGAGGAAGTTGATGAAGCTGAAGTTCAGGCCTGTGCAGATGTGAAGAGCCACTCGGTTGACCCTTTGAACAGCGAGAACCATGCCGGGGAGAAGGATGCTTTGGTAACTGTGCCAGAAAATGAGGGGTGTGCTGATGGTGGCGATAATCACAAGGGAGTTCATGTTCTCAGCATTGTCAAAAAGGATGAGTCTGAGGAAATTGTTGATTCTATTAATCCTGTAACCGTTGCGGGGTATAGAGAGGAGAAGGGCACCGCCGGTTCTACTTCTGCAATTACTGCGGTGCGAGCACCTGGCTCCCGCTCATCTTGTTTCCATGGTGTGACCAGGTAAGCTTGGTTTTGTGTTCCTATAATTAGTATTTGATCAGTGGAAACACAACAATGTGTTTCACTATATTAACTAAACAAATCATAGATGGCACTGCTTACCAAACTTAATCAATTGTGCAGGCACAGGTGGAGTGGGAAATATGAAGCTCATTTGTGGGACAGTACTTGCAGAGTAGAAGGACGGAGAAGGAAAGGAAAGCAAGGTATGCCTCTTTTATTTGGAGCTTCTAAGGGGCAGTTATATACATTGTATCTCTGTGCCATGACCTATTTGTGAAGGATACATTTGTGATAGTTGGCGGTTTATGCTTATAGTCTCGTTGTCGGCGGTCCATTGTAGAATGTGGCTAGGTCTAGGGCAGCATGCACTCAGGAGAGAGCCACAGCCCACGCGTAGGCATAGAAACACTAGAGATAAATAGGTAGATAACTCTTACTTTCACTTTTGATGGAGACCTTGCTATATGGAGCACAAAGAACATTAATGATGTGCAATTCGGCTGGCTAATAGTTAAACAAATACTAGGACAGAGTAGGACATATAGTTTGATTGGCTCCGGAAGTATCATAAATACTACCTCCGTCCCATAATATAAGAGCATTTTTGACACTACATTAGTGTCAAGACGGAGGGAGTAGTAGGCAATATATATATAGTTCAAAGGGAAAAATAATGGAACATTGTGTTTCACGTGTTTATTATTTTCGTTAAAAGAAAATGCCAGTTTATTGGCGGTTTCTTTGTAACGTTATCTTTTTTCCCGTAGTTTCTGTGTCAGCAAGGTAGTACTGTGTCGTTTCTGCATTTCATGAAATTTTCTGTTTGTCCAAGTTTATAATTTGTATCGTCATGCCTTTTTGCGCCATCTGATTCACTACACTTGGTAGTTAGTAGTGCTGACATTACAGTCTTGGGCTGCATTAATGCTATCCTTTATTTAACCAATCTCCAGCAAGAGTACCGACTCAACATAGGTCTCATGCAACTTCGAACTCCACTCTTAATTTTTTTTCCTCAATAAAAATAAAAAAGCGACATAGCTTTCGAAGGAATTGTATCCGTGCGTAGGTTTTCTTGTTTTGGTTTAAGTGAAGACTATATTTGGCATGCATTTAGTGGGGTGTGAGATCCTATCACACTGCGCCATGCAGAGGTACCTATTGAATTTGACTATCTTCTATTCGACATGAGGATAATATATTATGCGTTGTGCCTTTTTTTTGGAATCAGGAACTTATATGATAAGTTAGCAAGGTTAAATTTTTGCTGAGTACATGGTGCTAAGAAAGCTGGGGCCTGGGATGCCTAGACACAAACCGGACTAGAATGCAAAGAAAATTTAGCTGTCAGATGCATATCACTAAACACCATAGTGAGCACCTGAATTTGCATAACAGGAAGAATCATGTCCTGTTTGTTAACCTGGACTTCCAAACATATAATTCTGGAGTTTTGTGTCCCATAAGACCATGCATTTAAAACTCAAACCGAACAATTAGCCGGTCAAATTACCAGTTCACTGATTTACTGGTCAAAGATCAATTCAATGGTTGACCAATCGGGTATAAGAAAATTATTTAGCATCTTTTTTTAGTTAGGAAACAATTGCTAAAGATGTCAAGTGGTAATAGTTGTAACAAGATAATATACAAACTATCTTGCCTCTTACATCCTGTCCAGGAGTGTAGGTAGGTTGGCAGTGTGTCTCCCTTTCGATCATCATGAGGTGGGGGGTTTGATACCAACTTTGTGAACTAACTAAAATTAATTCACTATTTTTCTCTTTATATGATCCACTCCTGTGGTTTTGGCACTACCATACTACCCTGTCCCTCCTGTTTTGGCTCTTAGAGGCTGTTTGGATCCCGCCCACACCCGCCTTGCAAATAGCTGATGTGCTAATATATTGGCAAGGGAATCCGCCGCCAGCGTTTTGCCCGCTCGTGGGCGTAAAAGCTGAACTGCCAGCCAATATTGTGGCATGGCTTCAAAATTTTGGCTTCCAACCAAGTGGCCAACCGCCCTAGCAGTCAACGCCAATTTTTTGGTGCGGCAGCTCTTGACTATGATCCAAACGGCCCCTTAAATTTATGTCTTGGACGTTATCTCTTAGCAAGTATAACATACTAGCTTTCTTGAATTGCTTCAAAATTAGGCATAACATTTAATTGTCATGAGTTTTAACATATATCATGTTAATCTTTTCTGGTATCTTTGTTATTTCCTGTTTCTTTAAGATATACTATTATATTAGATATATATTCTGATTGGTTACTGATGGTTTCTTGCAATGGTGTTCCAATACGGCGGTGCTTCAGTTTATTTAGGTAAGCATTATTTATTTCAGTCCTGTCATTATGTCTTTCATTATTCTCAAGGAAAAAAAGCGCCAGGCATTAATTGTGCATTTTGCCACCGCCTAGCGTCTATTCGCCTAAGCGCACGCCTAGCATGATTAAGCGCTAGGCGTTCCGTTGTGGCCTAAGGCCTAAGGATCTGTGCATAGGATCTGATTGTTTTCTCTCCAAATTTTCTACTACGCAGGAAGTTATGATACTGAGCAAAAAGCTGCCAGGGCATATGATGTTGCAGCTCTTAAATTCTTTGGACTAAATACAAAGCTGAACTTTTCGGTACGTTTTTCTCTCTTGTTTTTGCTTGCACCGATATAGTTATGGACAAGTGGATCTCATGAGTCAATATTATTCCAGATTTCGGAATATGAGAAGGAGCTGGCGGACATACAGGACATGTCTCCAGAGGAATGTGTGACATACTTGAGAAGGTATGTCAAGGGTATATTAATTCAGACTCTTCAGATCAGTGTTCTAGTGAGATGATGACTTCTATAACAAGTCGATTTGTCCTGCAGGAGGAGTAGCTGCTTCTCAAGAGGGGCGTCTATTTACAGAGGAGTTACAAGGTGGCGTCTCCTTCTCATTTGTTCAGCTTGTTCAAAAAGCCAGCTTTTCTTCTTCAAACCAGCTCAAAACTCACATGTAACCATGTCCTACGACAGGAGGCAGAAAGATGGTCGATGGCAGGCACGCATAGGACTGATTGCTGGAACTAGAGACATTTACCTTGGAACTTTCAGTACGATGCACATCCCTAATTCTGCCCCCCTTGAACTCTCATCAACAGTTACCCATTTTTCTAACTGAAAGACAGCATCCCATTTCAATTCCCTGATGTTCTGTTTTCGTGTTTGAACTAGAAACTGAGGAAGAAGCCGCAGAAGCTTATGATATTGCTGCCATCGAGATACGAGGCAAAAACGCGGTGACCAACTTTGACAGAAGCAACTACATGGACAGGGGCATGCATTGTATAGAAGGCGCAGGGTTGAAGCTGCTTGCAACCAAGCCAGAATAGTACCTGATTTGGTATCGTATATTGAACAGATTTGGTTGGCCATATTTTGGAGCCTAGTGGTACATACAGATAGAAGAACTGGTCGCAGCCTGTCATTATTTGCTGCTGTATGATTCTTCAGATTATATATAGTTCTTTCAGAGAGAATTTCAGTAATTTAGCATGCTTTGTGTCCAGAACAAGATTTTGACCATGCATTACTGTTATAGTGTTTGTAGGCTAGAGTTGCACTGGAAGATGTTGCTTCATTTCACATGTCTAAAACGGAGAATACATTTTACTTCTAAGTTTTGATGCTTGGTTTAATGAAATATTCAAGTGTATATTCCCATGAGCCAGCTTCTTAAATCCATTTGCCTTCATTTTTTTCATTCATTTGCAGTGTCGCAACACATGTGCAGCCTGTCATTATCTGCTGCTGTATGATTCTTCAGATTATATGTAGTTCTTTCAGAGAGAATTTCAGCAATTTAGCATGCTTTTGTGTCCAGAACAAGATTTTAACCATATATTGCTGGATTTCTTCTGTGGCTTCTTTATGTTTACCCACGCCGCGGCTATTCAATAAAAGGGTTGGTAGTTAGTTGCCTCACCCTATTGGTTGTTGGTTTTCTTTCTCCTCTGCGTTCGTGAAAAGCTAGTATGCTCGCGGAAATCATCTAAAGGAAACTACTTGCTAACTCGCCAACAAGACGGACTTCTTCCTCTGGCTCTGCCAGGCTATGTTGCTCGCCTAAATCGGCATCAATAACTTCTATCGTACTTCGACCTCTCATTGGAATGACAAGTTGGCTACAACGAACTAATAAGTTTCTCTTCTTGTCACCTTCTTTAAGCCTTTCCTTCTGCTTCCATCGAGAAATATATATAGATAAGTTTGGAGAAGCGATTAAGGTGTTTCCACTCTTAGGTTGTTCAATATGCAAAGACCGTGTCAATCACTACACCAGTGATACGAAAAGCAAGCATTCTTCTCCAGCTGACGTACGGACGCCTCACTACTACTTAATTAGTGAAAAATACGTTGGGATGTTTTCAATTCTCCATCAAGAGGCGGGCAACTATCTCTTTTAACACTAGACTTCGGATCGCCTTCCTACTGGTTTTCTTCTCGGTCTCCCCAACCAGGGAAAACCTCAAAGCAAACAACAGAGCAACACCTATCTTTTTTCTTTAAGCACTGACCATCCGGATCCCCTTCCGACTTGCTTTTCCGGGCACCGGTCTTTCTAACAACTGGAACTCGTCTCCCTTTTCCTGATTCGCATCTTCTTCGGCTTTTGCTACGGTCTGTTCCTTCCTTCGGTTAGTCCTTCCTTCAAGTTTTTTGCCTGCTGATCTCTCTCTTCAAAACATATATATCTTTCGGCGCCAGTCTTTCTTGCCTTACCTTAACCCCGCTTTCACGTGGCGAATCGGTATGAAGTTTCAGTGATCACTTTACGGTATTCTTTAAGCTTTCTTGGTCAACGGACAGAGTGAGAACTGCTCAGCTTGCTTTCTTTCCCTAGCACACACTTAGTAGATAGTAGGCACAAGTCCGCTAAGAGCTCATCAAACTTGACTTGTAGAGTGAGACATGTGCTCGATATGCCTGTGATCGATCTCTCTCAAGTTAGGTTTGGTATCGGTATCGATGAAGTCCATCATTGAATTGAAGTGGTAGAGTGGTAAGTGGGCGCACGGTCTATGTATTTCCTATCAGTGACATTAGTTCCTTTTTATTCTCTAGATAGATGGGTAGAACAAGCTACTCTTTATATTATATTCTAGAAAGGATCAATTATATTCTCATCTCCTATTTGTTTGAGCCATTCATTATAGTGGTGGTGCCGGGAAGGCAGCTTAGCACTCTAGTCCTTTTGAGTAAGGAATTGTAGCATGTGCAGGCAATCTCTTCGATTGATTCCCCTCCAGGAATTACTTGAATTAATTAGTCGGCCCACGGAGTGAAATATCGAACTTAACCTATAAATAACTAGTATCTCAAAAACCAAATAAAAGGCTTTCTTTTAAGCTTGTTAATGGAATTCCACAGGAGTCAAGCGCTAGCAAAGAAGAATTGGAAATCAGTCGCTTCCCTTCTAGACTCAAGTCAGCAGAAGAGTGAACTTCATATGAATAGGTAAATCCTACATCAAGCGTAAATGAAGTACACTTTTTTTTGATTCGGCGCTTAATAACTCGTACTTGGTGTTGGTTTCGGTTCAATCAACTATCCTTTTTGAACCGGATAGTTCATAGTGCTCATTCTCAAAAAAAGCGGAAAAGCCATGATGTTTCCACTCCATTTTCATTACGAAGATGTATTACGTCGGGATCTGTTGCTCAAACTGAATCACGCCAATGTTATGGAAGTTCCTGGATTATTTGAAATAAGATCAGTACCAAAAGTTGCCTCTAATTTCATAATCCAATTTGGAAAATTGGCTATGGAGATTTTGTGCGGTCAGAGATTCATACAGACACAAAGGGCCCCCTATTTTCAAGCAGGAAAGTCGTTTCGATCCAATCCATTCTCGGGGTCCGAAAAAGACACTGGATATGTCAGTGACTTTGCACGACAAAGCGTTCTCCGAGGGCATGGAATGTACCATTTTTTGGTCAGAATCTTTACAATAATGTCTATGTTGGATTCTCCGGTCGAAATACAGGAAAACTCCATCAAATTCTTTATGGAAACGGAGTTTTGCAAATTCTCCCCGAAACTGGAAGATCATTTCGAGATCTTCGACCATATTCGAGGGTTCAATGTGACTATTGTCACTTCGGCCAATACAAAAGATGAGACTTTACTACTGTGGAGCGACTTTTTGCTAAAAGATGAGGGGGAAACTAAGTAAGATGCCGGAGAAGCGACGAAATATACGAGATCACAAATGTAGATTGCTCGCGGCTAAATATGAATTGAGACGAAAGCTTTTGAATTTTGTAACCCAATCTTCCGTCTGATATGCAGGACAAACATTGTTATAAGTTGTCCAAGTTGCCAAGAAAGAGTTCAATGGCATGAGTAAGAAATCGAGGTATTTTCACGGGTCGTCCTCGTTCCATAGTTGAGTTCTTTCGCATTTCTCGTATCGTTTTTCGTGGATTAGCATCTCGAGGTTCTTTGATGGGCATAAAGAAATCGTCTTGGTAGCAACCACCAAACCAATAGAACAAAGGTTAGCTCTGCAGCTAGTCGACAAGCAAGGGTTGTAGGTCCATTACCGTCTGGCTCCCAACCGAAACTAACGGATTCATCCCAACTCTCGGATCGGAGATGCTAACGGGCCAGGTATCGAAGTGGGGGACCTCTCTACCGCACATGTCTCCCCAGACATAGACTACGTAAAGGGTAGTACTCTTGGAAAGAGAGAAGATCACCGCGTGAACAAAATCCAAAGTAACGAATGTCACTCCCGAGGGATCGACCATTATCATACATGAAATTTTTCATAGAATGATTGTTCATGTTCATGCCGGAGTGCTGAGGTTGTTCCCACCATTGAAGTCAGAGTCTGGATGTGTTTTTCTTACTAATACGGAGAGGGTTCCGAATGATAAAGACCAATCAAAAACTTCTTCGTTTCGTTGGTAGAACCCACGCCAACTCTTTTCTCTAAATAATAGAGAGATCTTTTGATAGTCTCACTTCTATCAATGCAATGAAAGAACTATCCCTTCCTATTTGTTTGTCCTAATGAGACAAAAAAGAGCCTCCTTCTTTACCACTTTAGGGGATGGGGGTGAGGGGGGGTTTACATACAACCGGGAGAAAGTGGTTTATGATTGAATCTCAGAGGCATTCTTATCATTTGGTAGATCCAAGTCCATGGCCTATTTCGGGTTCACTCAGTGCTTTGGCAACCACCGTAGGAGGTGTGATGTACATGCACTCATTTCAAGGGGGTGCAACACTTCTCAGTTTGGGCCTAATATTTATCCTTTATACCATGTTCGTATGGTGGCGGGATGTTCTACGTGAATCCACGTTGGAAGGGCATCATACAAAAGTTGTACAATTAGGACCTCGATATGGTTCTATTCTCTTCATAGTCTTGGAGGTTATGTTCCTTTTTGCTTTTTTGGGCTTCTTCTAATTCTTCCTTGGCACCTACGGTAGAGATCGGAGGTATTTGGCCCCCAAAAGGGATTGGGGTTTTAGATCCTTGGGAAATCCCTCTTCTTAATACCCATCTTCTCCCTTCATCCAGAGCTGCCGTAACTTGGGCTCATCATGCTATACTCGCGGGGAAGGAAAATGGAGCAGTTTACGCTTTAGTAGCAACCGTTTCACTGGCTCTAGTATCCACTTGATTTCAAGGAATGGAATATTACCAAGCACCCTCCACTATTTCAGATAGTATTTATGGTTCTATCTTTTTCTTAGCATCTGGCTTTCATGGTTTTCATGTGATTACAGGTACTCTTTTCTTGATCGTATGTGGTATTCGCCAATATCTTGGTCATCTAACCAAGAAGCATCACGTTGGCTTTGAAGCAGCTGCATGGTACTGGCATTTTGTAGACGTGGTTCGGTTATTCCCATTTGTCTCTATCTATTGGTGGGGAGGTATATGAAAGAAGGGAACGAATAAATGGATTGAGGAATAAAAGCTCGAAGACAAAGAGAACTTCTCCGGGTACTCAAGATATTGTGTTTCGAGAGGTGTAGATTGTAGATTCCGGCCGAGCCAGACCCAGGAAGAATACGAAGTCCAATTTCCTCAACCGCGCACACAGATAAGACACAAGATAGTTTCTGAGTTATAGAAGTCTTGATCGGGCCAAGCTAGCATAACAGTTAGTAGTTCGCATTACTTTCTCTTGGGAAGCGCGCACATTTGAGTTCAGTATGAATGCATTGAACGCTTAAGACCACTCGCTGGATGATATGGTCAATCATACTCTAGAGTGGGGACAGCATAACAATAACATTCTCTCTTTAGATTCGAGATGTATTGATCGAGACGTGCCTCACTCTAGTGAGGATTTGAGCTCCCCGATAGACGTAG